AACCATGATAAGATATAAATATCATGTTAGAAATATCAATCTATAGAGTTGCAAATTTTTACATAAAAACAGTAACAAATAGTTGTTGTTGTTGCAACCCGCAAAGATCTGTAAAGCAGATAACATGAAATAAATTACATAAAAAATACATGGGTCAGGATGTGGATTGGTATTAGTGGTGTTAGAGGTGAGGGAGTGAAAGTGAATTAAAGAATGGGTGAGATTTAAATGGAAGCCAACCAAAATCAAGACGGAGAAACCTAACTTCTTCTATCGAACTAATAACTAGTTGTTGTTAATTATTCGTTTATATGTTCAATGTAAAAAATTGTGTACTAAGTGGCACTAGATGGCGCGTTAAGCTGTTTGTGTTATTAATATAGTTTTATAACTTGAAGACTCACTATTATATAACGTAATATAACGTAATATATTATTCCTATTACGTAACATAACGTAATAGGAAGGAGATTATTTGAAATTGAAGGCTGAGTAGGATTTAAATTGAAGTCAATCAAGATCAGTTCTATGGATCTGATCTATGGAGCGGACTAATAACTAGTTGTTGTTAATTGTCGTTTATATATTTAATATAAAAACTTGTCACCAGGTGGCGCGTTTAGTTGTTTATGTATTTAATATACATTTCCAACTTTAAGGCTCACTATCTAACAAGCTACATCGATATATAGCGTAGTGGATTAAGTTGCTAATCCACTACATGTATATGATAAGCTTTACAAAAATAAGTCACCAAATTTAACCTCCTCTGAAATAAAAATAGAGCTACAGACTTTTCTACGGTAAGAATACCAATTCAAAGTAAATTTTGGAATTTACAAAAAAGTTGGTTGTGAGGAAACAGGTGTGACAGTTTTATTAAGAGACTACACATAGACATATTAACCGCTTTATAGTATAAATTATTAGTTTCCTCAAATTCATTAAGACAAAGTTAGTTCCATACCATTATGAAATGCTGTGTATTTTTAAAGCGTTGAACTAAAATAATAAGTATAATAAATCAAATTTAATATAGAAATTTTTTTGGACTTAAGAAAAAAAATTTTTTTTTTTTGGAATATTAATTTGGAATAAAGTTAATTTTATTATTCCATTTAAATATGTATGGTATATGATAGTGCATGGAATGTACTTATAAATATTAAACATTCATCAGATACGGATTATTTAATCATTTCATTAATTAATTTATAGAAAATTAAATCAAAACAAAATTATTAATAACAAAATTCCCAATATAAATTAAAATCTTTAAATTGCAAATTTTTATTACAAAAAATATGTTAACAATTTTATTGACACACTTTGGCTAAGCTGATGAAGCTGATGAAGCTGAAGAATCAATAAAACTACAAAAGGCGGCAGTCGCAAGACACGTTGTTGTAGTCGACGAGCATTTAGGGTTTTCCAATAAAAGTTTTGCATAAATTATATACAAAAAATAAATGTTGACAAGATCAACCAAAAAAGAAAAGAAAAAATGTGATAAAACGTTACAACGAGGTTAGAGTCTACAAAAGTAAGAAAAAAGTGAGCGTAACAAAATTTTGGGGGGTCGGCGCAGTTCGCTAAAGCTAAGACACGACGTCGGCAGATCAGCTGTCAACACCATGTGTATTACCTTACAATCAGTGCAACTTCCCAAACCATTTATTTATTTATTTACAAATTACCAATGTACAAATATTTTATGTTCTAATTTTTAATAACATGCTTTTTATTTTTTTTTTTTTATAATCGATGTCTTTTATCTGTGACACAAACGTGCTTGCTTCTGTACTTTTGTGCACAGGTTATTTGTATTTTGTAACAAGCGAAAGTAGCTAATTTACACGTTACACGAAAACCCATATTACATACGCCTCTAAGGGGCGTGGTATTTTAATTAAATTTTAGACAGGAATAACTTACAAGTTTTATTTTAAGTTGTTCGCTGAAGTAGTTTTTCCACTTTAATAGCGATCATGCCGTATTAAACACACCACTTCACAACGCACCACACCGCACTAACACCTTACATACCAATGACATCTATAAACATTTTTTATTGAATGTGCTACACATTGAGGTTAGGAGCTAAGCTTAATTCAGCCAAACTATACGGCGATTTGTTTTATTTTGCATATTTATTTATTATTTTATATATTTATACACTTTCACATCCTAATATTTTCTGTACTCATCTGTCTTTTAACTTTGACCTACCTTACCACCTTGTTAAGGCATCCAGTTTTCCTTGTGCACGAATTTCCCTTTCCCCTATTTCAATTCATTTTTGGCTACTTTCAGTCAAATTTTTTCACATTTCAGTTTTTTTGTTGTATTGAAAGCATTTTATTATGTTCTTGTGTTCTTAATATATAAAGTGAATTTAAAACTAAGATATATAAGTATAAAAATTTAACTGATGCATTCGTACAAAAATTATAAGAAAAGTTACAAAATTTTCCTTTGCAGGCACACACAATTTTTTGACATTTGTTTGTTTAACGAAGAGTTTGTAATAGATTAGGTTCGGCTTGGTGCTACAACTCAAACTGACACTTGCTAAACATTTGACACACTGTGGATACCTGCATTCCAAACATTCCAACACTATAAAATTAAATTAGAAAATTTTTGGCAAAATTTATAAACATATAAAAAACTAGTTGTTACATCTTTCACATGCAATAAAAATATGCAATAAATATTTGCATAAAATGTATAGACGCAGAGATATATGTATATTGCATGATAAATCACGTTATGGCACACAGTTATGTTTAGAGTTAAATTATATAATATATATGCCTTATGCGGGTTCGTGATGCTAAATTGAAGGATATAGTATATTATGTCGGTTTACTGCCAAATGTTGGTATTTACCAAAATTTTGAGTAGGTAAAAATTAGGTAAATTTGATATTACCATTGTAAAAATTTTATAAGATGTTCAATAAATAAATAAATAAATTTGTAAACTTTAACTAAAAATAATAAATAAGTGCAATAAATATATAAATAAATATTTTTATAAGTGCAGTGCAAAAAATCCCTAGAAAATTTCAATTTAGTTTATCTCAATTTACTTGAACTCTCATACGATCATAATATATGTTAGGTCTCTTCCACGAGCTACTCGTAGTAACTTTGAGTAACACTGTGTATACACAAGTGCATTGCACTAGCAAGGTTTCGAGTAAATGAGAGCATCTGAGAAAGCGTAGCGTCCCTGTCGAAATTTAAAAATGCTACACGGACTTTACTCGTACATTTAATTTCAAATAAAATTTGTGTAATGTGTGAATCAGTTGTTTTGGTTTGAATTTAAATTTTTGTATTATTTATATGCGTGGCATTGGTGTTCTCACCAGATTTTACACAAAGCTGTTCCATTAAAATCTGTATAAAGAGCGTAATTTGGCACTTTATTTATGATACGCTCTCACTTGAGTTTTACTACTCATGAAATAGACTTATTATATTAGCCGTAAGTTTTTCTTTTAGAGTATAAAAAAAAATACTACCAACTTACGAAAGAAAACATGTGAAGCAACAACAATGCTCTCAAAATCTTCAGAGTTAGGTTTTATTCACAAAAATTTTTAAGTCTTAAGTTTTAGTGCAGCCAATTTCAAAAATTAGCCTATTGTGAATGTTCACTGCAAATATGTTGTAAAATTCCAGTCATCCGTAAATTAGTGCAAATACTTAAGTAAATAAATAATTTTAATAAATAAAATACAAATGGCTATAATTGCTTTTTTACTGATCATTTTGTTTTCTTTTATTTTAATTAATTAATTATTGGTGTTTACAATTCTTATTTTTCATATTGTGCATAACAACAAAAAACATATGGAAAAAAAAAGTATTTGACATATATTAAAAGTGATGTCATTTTGTTTCAACCAGACTTAATGCTGTTTTTTTACAACTCTGAAAGAAAAAATTTCGGCTATTTGTTATACATTACGAATTATATACTATATGCTATATTATACCATGTTTCCGCTGCTTATACTATGTTCAGACGCTCATTAATTTCACAAAAATCTTAATTTCGTTCCAGCACAATTAAGTTGTCTGAACATAGAATGAGTAAGTTATTAAATAGTACGTTTCCACTGGCTTCGTTAGACTAGTTATTTATATTGATATTATATTACTTTATATATATTGTTGTTGTACTAGTTTTGTACGACACAAGAAAATAAATATATGATTGATGATTTAATATAATGATATAAATCATTTATATATATGTCTTTTTTATGTATATTACGTATTTAATATAAAAAGTATACTAAAAATTGAAGCAATTTGCCATATCTTAAAATAGTAGCATCAAAAGTCTGATTTCCATCACAAGAGCATTGTTTTCATATAGTTGGAAATGCTCATATATAACGTCATGCCACTACTAGTCAATGTCGCATGAAAACTGATCATGACTTGCTATATAATCTTGATCGCCGTAAATATTATATGATATGGTATGTATTGCTATATATAAAAATCTGTATAAAAATATGCTAAACAAGTTAAATAAGTCTGTGTGAACATTTCATATACATACCAACATTAAATTAAGTGCCGCATTGAAATCTTAACCACAGTATATGTTGGGATTATAGCTAGATTCCGTTTATTAATCCATTTCACTATTTATATTAGTGATAAAAAATTTTTTTAATATCGCAGCCTTTTAAAAATTTTTGATAATTATTAAAACCAAACAAAAACTAAAATAAAACGTAATAAAAATAGTTAAAAGCAATTTTCTTTCTTTAATAATAAAACCATTTTCCAACACTGTTAAAATTGACAACCGCACTGACATATGAAAATAATTTCATGTTTTAGATACCAGCTGTCAGAATTGTGGAAAAAATTGTTTAACAGTATTTATTTTTTAATTTCAGTAAAAATTTGTTTATTGTATATAGACTGTTGGTAAGTTGTAAATACAAAATTAAAAAATTATTAATATTTTGTGAGTTTGTAACGCAAGTAAAATAAAATCAATTGGAATCTGCAAGTGATGTGGGAACAAAACTATAGCAAAACGCAAACTTTAGATGTTGGCTGAAGTTGGTTATTCGTGTTAGAATGTCCATTAACAGCATAACGAGGTGGCTCATCTATAAAATAATATTTTAATTATCGGATTTATTTTAAATATAGTTAACTGTTTATACCATCAACTTGTATGGACTTTTCATTTCGGCAAGAAATGTTTTTGCTTTTAGCTCGCATGTCGCTAAAAAATTGACGCACTTTGCCTTTTCCGTCTTCTGCTTCATGCTCCACGTAACGTTGTGTGGCCATTACTTCATCACGTAAAGCACGTTTACCACGTTGAATAGCGTCATCTGACTCATTTTCAAAAGGATTATTACTTTCAAACGGATTCGAACCTTCAAAAGGAT